GGCCGGATGGCAGCTTCCCCGGTCCGGCGGCCCTGCTCCTCTCACTGCTGTGGCTGATGGAGGAGGAGCATGTCTCTGTACCATGCTCGGAGCATGGTACAGAAACATGCTCCTCCTCCATCAGCCACAGCAGTGAGCAGGGGAGGGCTGGCAGCCTTAGGCCTGGGGGGCAAAACCAGTCAAGTGGCCCATTGCACCACCAAATCAGTTCACCATCCATGCCCACCTTTTCCTGGTTTTATAACGGATATTGATGTTATGCTAATCAGTAGCTCTTTGCCATACCCGCTCCTTCACGGCTCCAGGCACTGCTTGTTGTGAGTGTGAGCCACTGTAAATTAGGGGCAGAGGGCACTTGCACTGCGGTAAAGATGGGGCTGGGCAGGAGGAGAGTGCAGTGCAATCAGTGCACTCCCCTCCTGTGGGTCACCAGTAGACTGGTGCACCTGCCCAGGATCAGAGCCGGTGCAAGGATTTTTGCCGCCCTAGACAAAATAAAAATTTGCTGCCCCCCCATGTGACATCACAATGCCCCACCCATATGAACTAACGCCAGTGCTGCACACAGTGTGTGTTTACATTAAAAAGGCTGCAGGGACCAGCTATAGACACCAGAACCACTTCATTAAGCTATAGTGTCCCTTTAATGTGAGGTACATTATAGATTAGTGTCACTAATAATATACTAAATTGCCTACTTACAAGCAGATGAGGATGATGATGGGCTGCAGTTTGGCTCCACTGGTCTGGTGTAGAACAGGATCTCTGGAGGCTGTTTGCAACTGTGGTCACAAAATTCAATGTTCTGGGAGAATTGGAAGCAGCTCCATTTTTTGGGGCCCCTTACACAGCTCAAGGTCTGGGCCCCAGGGCCTGACAGTGAGTATGCCCATAAGGCCCACTCATAAGTTCCACCCACCCATGAGTTCGCTCACAGGGAGTGGAGTGTGTAGGGGATGTGTTATGTGTTATTGTAGAGGATCTAATATGTGTGCTTATGGTATGTAGTGTATAGGGTTACCAGTTTGTGCAGGTGATGTAGTGTGTTTGTGTGTAGTGGAAGCAGTGTGTATTTGTGTATAAGGGATGTATTATGTGTTTCTGGTTGTGTGTAAGGGATGCATTGTGTGAATCTGTGTTTGTATGCATAAGGGATGCAAGGTGTGTGTCTGTATGTGTGTGCATTGAGTGTAAGAGATGCATTGTGTTTCTGTGTGTATGTAAGAAAAGAAGTGTGTGTGTGTTTGCATGTGTGTGTACGGGTTTGCATTGTCTGTTTCTGTGTATGTGTGCAAAGGATGCATTGTCTTTGTGTGTAAGGGTTGCATTGTGTGTGTGTGTAATGGATGCATTGTGTGTTTCTCTGTGTGTAAAGGAAGCATGTTGTGTTTCTGTGTATGTATAGGGATGCATTGTGTGTGTGTGTGTGTGTGCGCGCCTGTAGTGTGAAAGAGCTCCCTGTCTTGGCCCCTGTCCTATAGAGCTGCCCCTTCTGTCCCGTAGAGCTCTCCCCTGCACCTTAGTGGTCTCTCCTCTCCCCCACCCTCCCCTAGCGGTCTCTTCTCACACTCACCCACCCTCCCTGTGCTCTTCTCATTCCCCCCTCCACCCTCCCTGTGTTCTTCTCACTCCTCCCTCTATGTGTTCTCCTCACACCCCCTGTGTTCGTCTTACCCCCCTCCTCCCTGTGTTCTTCTTACTTCCCCCCTTGGTCGTCTTACTCCCCCACCTGTTCTTCTTACTCCCCCACCTGTTCTTCTTACCCCCCTTCTTATTGCTCCCCCTTCTTCTTCTTACCCCCCCTTCTTCTTCTTCCTCTTCCTCCCCCTTCTTCTTCTTACTCCCCCCATTTCTTCATACTCACCCTTCTTCTTACCCCCTCTTCTTCTTCTTACTCCCCACTCTTCTTCTTCTTACTCCCCACTCTTTTTCTTACTCACCCCTTCTTCTTCTTCTTACCCCCCTCTTTCTTATCTCCCCTCCTTCTTCCTCCGCCCTCCCCTCCTTCTTACTCCACCCTCCCCCTTTTCTTATTCCACCTCTCCCTCTTCTTACTCCCCCCTCTTTTTCTTACTCCCTCCTCTTCTTCTTATTACTCCCCCATCTTTTTGTTACTCACCCCTTCTTCTTCTTACCCCCTCTTTTTCTTATCTCCCCTCTTCTTATTCCCCTCCCTCCCCTCTTC